TAAAAATGTAGGGAAAACTTAATATTTATAAAGGCCACGGAATCAGTGGGGTCCAAGCTAAGAAATCCAGCCTTGCAACCAGAGACACAGATTGCACCTGCATTACTTGTCAAAGAGGGAGCTCTTTCCATGAATATGTTGGCATGGTGATTTGAAGAAAGATAAATAAAAGGAGGTCCAGAGAAGAGTGGTCAAGTTTGTCGTGCAGGGGTGGAGTTGGCTTGAAAGAAGGGGGAAGGGAGGGAAGGGCTCCAGGCTCACCTCTATCTTCTTCCCCCTGTGTAGGAACCTTGTGAAACCCTTCATCTGTGATTCAGGCCTGGAATTCTGTTTGGAGCATACAGTGTGAACGTTTGACATCAGCTGCACACGTGTGAAATGTGGAAACTCAGACCCCACCCAAATATCCACGTCAGAATATGAATTTTACCAAGATCTTCAGTTCATTGTCATACACATTAACATTGACGTACACCTCTAGCTCACCTACACTTTTCCATTATTCTACTCCTGTCTTCATGTGTATAGAACATTATTTTGATAACTGTGCCTTGTTGTATGCCTTAAATCAGGAAATGTGCTCTTCATTTCCCAGATTATTTTGGGTATGGTTTCTCCCGTGACATCCATGTAAAATTAGGGTGGATTGTGATCTTTCTTCAAAAATGGCATTGGAATTTTGGTAGTGATTTCATTATTCTGTAGATCTCGGCAAGTTTTATTGTGTTTCAGGTATTCCAGTGAAAGAACTTGGATGTGTTTCCAACTTATTCCTTCTTTGGATTCCTGCACAATATTTTATACTTTTCATCATTTCAGGTTTGACCTCTACCATTATGTTTAATCGGAAGCATTTTTTTGGGGGTGAGGGTGATGTTGCTCTAAATGGATGATGTCTCTGTTTTGGGAATTGTTCTTTGTTGTATAGAAACAGAACTAATTTTTATGTGTTGGGTTTGTGTACCAACTTTGTAAAATCCATATGAGTTTTAACAGGATTGTAACAATAAGGATTCCCCAGGAGAAGAAATGGCAGTGGAGGAGGAGGATTCTAGACTCACCACATACCCTGACCACCACGAGATAACTATCAGATCATCCGAAATACCCCAGAAATTGGGCTGGAGACTGACAGGACAAACTCCCCGAGAAAAGGAAAGAGGCAACATTGAAGATGGCAGGTAGTTTGGAGACGTGGTTTAGGGAGTAAGGTGTATAGCACTGTGGAGGGCAGGGAATTGTGGTTGGAGAGAAAGTAGCATGACAGAGGAGCTCACAGGGGAACGCATAAGGAGAAGGTTTCCCCAAAGCCATCGGCTTGGAAAGGGAGAGGGGATGAATTTCACGAGTTCTTGGCACTCGCATGTCTTAAAGCCTGAAGTTTTAACGGTCAGCAGGTTTGGATGAGATAGAGTCAAGAGGTCACTGTGCTCCTGGAGAGAAGGCAGGCAAACAACCTGGAGGCAGACAACGTGGAAACAGCCATCCGAAGAACACCTGGGGCACACGGTTGGGAGAATATTCGGTAGTCTAGGAGCACTTTCCTGAGAGGAAACATTTAGTGAGATGTGTCTCGAAGAACACGGGAGTTGGATGGCGCCATTCCCTCTCCTGCCCTGTAGGATAAACACAGAGCCCCACTCAGTGAGGACACTGGCTGTCTGCCTTGCTTGCACCAAGCCTCACCCCCCTGTGATCTGATGGGACTACCCATCTCAGTGAGGCTTGCCCCAGGCTCAGCAACGTGCGCCCCTGCCCACGTCCCATCTCCTGAGCAGGGAGTTCTGTCGGGCCTGAGCTCTGGTAGGGTTGATGTCAGGTGTCCTTTCACAAGCAGGCCAGAGCTCACCAAGTTAAAACTGGCCACATTCAGGCCAGGCACCAAACACTGCCCATAGCAGGACACATCACTGGCTTTTCTAACACACGGGAAGGTAGAGACTTAGACAAAATGCCAAGATGAAAGACTTTATCCCAAACAAAAAAGCAGATAAGGCCAAGGCCAGAGGTATAATGGAAACAGATGGGAGTAACGTGCTTGATGGAGAATTAAGGCAACGATCATAAGGATACTCAAAGGGTTGAGCAAAGAAGAGTGAGATCTTTACCACAGAGGTAAGGGCTCAGAAATAATTGGGGTGCTTGGGTGGCTCACTCGGTTGAGCCCCTGACTCTTGGTTTCTGCTCAGGTCTTGATCTCAGGGCCCTGGGTTCCAGCTTCAAGTCAGGCTCTGCACTCAGCGTGATGACTGCTTGCGATTCCCTTCTCCCTCTCCCTCCGCAGATCCATTCGTACTCTTGAGATCTTCCTCTCAAATATATTTTTCAAAAAAAATCAAATAGAGGTGAACAATGCAAGAAGCAAGATTAGAAACAGGATGTAAAGAGTAGGCTGGGAGAAGCAGAAGAATGATTTTATTTTATTTATTTTAAAGATTTTATTTATTTATTTGAGAGAGAGAGAATGAGAGACAGCATGAGAGGGAAGAGGGTCAGAGGGAGAAGCAGACCCCCTGCTGAGCAGGGAGCCCGACGTGGGACTCGATCCCGGGACTCCAGGATCATGACCTGAGCCGAAGGCAGTTGCTTAACCAACTGAGCCACCCAGGCGCCCAGAAGAATGATTTTATATAGAAGGTGAAATCAAGGGGCACCTGGGTGGCTCAGTTGTGAAGAGTCTGCCTTTTGCTCAGGTCATGATCCCAGGGTCCTGCCTTGCGGGGAGCCTGCTTCTCCCTTCCCCACTCCCTCTGCTTGTGTTTCCCCTCTCGCTGTGTCTCTGTCAAATAAATAAAATCTAAGAAAGAAAAGCAAAATAAAGGAAAATACTGAATCTGAACAAAGGGAAGGAGAAGAATCATGCAACACAGCATTTGATTTAGGGAACTCACTGACTCCATCAAATGTAGTAAGATTCCTAGGTCATGGGCTTTTCTGTGCTGGGACAGTATCGATTCCAAATTTACCTTTCATTCTTGTTTTTGGTTGAAGGAGATTTCCCATTTCTTTGGTTCAAGGTTCTTAATTTACTCTTAAAAACTTGTATTTTTAGGAAGTATCTCTGTTTTTCTTCTAAATTACCCGATTTGTTCGTATATAATGGTTTATGTAGTTAAACCATTGCCAGCTCTGTTTATTTTGTTGGTTAAAATGGGCATGACTTTCAGTGTTGTTTTAGTGTTAATCTGATGTCTATTTTATTTATTTCGGTTTTTGTTATTTCATTCCTCTAGTAAATTTCATCCAAGTTTCTTCCTTTTCTAGCTTTTCTGGTGGAGGTTAAGTTGTTTATTCCAACATTTTTCTTAACTCTGTATTGTGTAAGATAAACAATATTGAAAATGGTAAGTCTAGTAGGGAAAAAATGGCAGACCTAAACAATACATACAATGACAAAACAGTAAAAAAAATTAAAATTAGGGTTGTTTAAGGATTTCTGTAATCATGTCATCTGTGACCAGAGATGATTTTACTGTTTCTTTTTCAGTTTGGATTCTTTTTATGTATTTTTGATTGCATAATTGTTCTGACTAGAATGTCCAGTACTATATTCAAAGGCAGTGGTGCGGTCATTTCTTTATCTTGTTTCTGATCACAAAGGAGAAGCTTGCAGTCTTTTGCTATTGAATAGGTTAGAATTCAGCTTTTCATACATCTATGCCATTTGTTAGATTAATGGAGTTCCCTTCTCTCTCTACTTTGAGTGTTTTTAACATGACATGTTGTCCAATATGCCCATATTTGTATTCCATCTTATTTAATATGATCATGTCATTTTTGATCTTCACTCTGTTAATGTGGAGTCTTCAATTTATGGTTTTCCATATGTTGGAACACCTTCAATTCCAGGTGATTTCCCACTTGATTATCTTGTGAAATGGGAAAATGTGCTTTTGATCCACTTTGCTCTCTTTTATTGTGGACTTGAGTATTTCACACAGGTAGTCCTTTGTCACCTTCTTTACTCGTAGGTCTTCTTCTGGCTTGGATAACCTAGAAATGCTGCTACCACTGTGAGAGTGTTTTGCTGATTTTTCTTATTTTCACTCCTTGAAAATGTTTGAGGAGATTTGAAGTACTTTCTCCTTAAGGGTCTGTTTGAATATCCAGTGAATTCATCTGGGACCTGATTTTTCTAAGGTGTTGGGAATTTTTTTTTTTTTAAGATTGTATTTATTTATTTGACAGAGAGAGAGCAAGAGAGGGAACACAAGCAGGGGGAGTGGGAGAGGGAGAAGGAGGCCTCCCATCAAGCAGGGAGCCCAACGCGGGCCTCGATCCCAGGACCCCAAGATCGTGACCCAAGCTGAAGGCAGGCACTCAACGACTGAGCCGCCCAGGCGCCTGGGAATTTTTTCTTTGTATTCCTCTTTCATTCTGCTTCATGGTTGTAGATTATTTGTGATTTGTTTAGATTTCTGAATGATGGATTTGTAAATTGGTTATAACTTTTTTGAAATTTATACTCCTCCTTTGGTATCATTTTTTGGGCACTGATTATCCGTCATCACCTCTTACAATTACTTTTATTCCTATGGTCAGTTACACTCTGTCTGCTTTCACTTCATCTCACATTTTAGTCATTTTTTTCTCTTTTATTCTTAATTAATAGTTAATGGTCTGTCAATGTTGATCTTTTCTGACAAATCTTCCTATTGTTATAGTCCTATTTTTACTATATCCTGTTTTGTTCATTTCACCTTTCTCTTAATATCCATCATTGTACTAATTTTGTACTCATGTGATACTTTGCCTGATCATTAGAGATATAGGAAAGTTATGCTACACCATGACAATACTACAGAATTATCTATTAGGATATGTGACCAGTACATTGTGTGAAAAGTTACGTGTCCATGTAGAAATGAAGTATTGATGATTCCTTCTCAGCCATCTTTCTGACATTGTCTGATTGACTTGAAGCTTCTATCTTAGAAGTCCTCAGTATATGCATCTGAAAGTAGTAAGTGCAGTGATTTTACTTATATTTTATCTTTCAGCTGTATCTTCACATGACACCCAGAATTTCCTGCTAAAGCCAAGCATAGAAGGTTCTTTCCAAAAAGTATCAATGCATAGATATCAAAAGAGTGCTGTTGAGATTTTACACTTAAGTACAGACTGGGACAATGATGGGGAGAGTGAAGGGCATCAAAGATTTCCTGGAGGCTATACCCAACCCAAGGCAATTGCCCTTAATAAGAATCTCACTGCCCCAAATGGTGAAGGATATAAAACATTGTGGAAAACCTCCCTTTTTAAGTCAACTGTTTCTGCAAAGCAGTGTGTTTCTGTAAGCAAAAGCTCCAATCAAATATTCAAACATACATCTTTGTGGACAGACCATTTGGAAAATCTGGAAAGTTATCTAGTCCATGCTGAAAATAATGATTTGAACCATTTTGAAGATAGGATTGGCTTGACCTTTCAGTCAAATATTTCTGATGTTCAGAGATTTAGAAATGAAGAACAAAGTGCTAAGTCAGATCCATATGAGAGGTGCTTCACTGAGGAGTCGACCCTACAGAATTACCAGAGCCTTTTCAATGGAGACAGAATTGCTCAATGCAGTGAATCTGAGAAAACATTTAACCAGGGTTCCAATGTTCATAGATGTGTGAGGACTTGGTCTCCAGAGAACCATTATGAATGTCATAAATGTGGGGAAGGCTTTAATCAGAGCTCTAACCATATTATACATAAGAGTCTCCCTTTGGGAGATAATCCTCATAA